TAGCCTATTGCTCCTAGGCTACAAGCCTGTACAGCATGCTACTGCACTGCACAAAAACAACACAAGAGTAAATAAAACACAACAGAACGTGATTCAATCAAGAGACACAGTAAACACAAGATGTATTTTATAAAGGAAGTTACAAAGTGTTTTATGCTGCTGCCGGCATAACACGGCATACTGTCTTAGAGCAAACTTCTTTTATATAAGTAGGAAGAGTACACTCTAATATAATGATTAAAAGTATAGTAAACACATAAACCAGTACAATAGTCCTTTACTATCATTATCAAGTATTATGTATTACACATAATTGTACTAGTATGTGTTATTCTTTTATATGATTGGCAGTGCAGTAGGCTTGTTTATATCAGCATCCCCACAAACATGTGAGTAATGTGTTGTCCTACTATGTTAGGACAGCTCTGATGTCACTAGGCGATAGGAATTTTTTTAATCCTCACCCAAGGATATGGGGTTTTTTAAAATTTATTTGAGAAAAGAGAAAAAGGGAGTGGGGAGAGAAAGAGAAGGAGCAACATCGATGTGAGAAACATCAATCAGTTGCCTCCCCTAAGTGCCCAGATCAGGATCGAACTTGCAACCTAGTTATATGCCCTGACTGAAAATTGAATCCCCAACCTTGAGTGTACAGATGACGCTCCAACCAACTGAGCCATCTGGCCAGGGCAGCGACAGTAATTTTTAAGCTCTATTTTAATCTTATAGAACCACTGTACATATGTGGTCCATCGTTGACCAAAACATTATTATGTGGCGCACGACTGTACCATAATTTCAAAGCAAAGACGGTATTGCAAAATGCCTGCAAGTACTGAGATGTGGTATGAAAATATTGATCACAAAGTAACAGGTGCTGCTAATACTACTGAAGTTTGTTGCCTACATTCAAATGGAAGAAAATGCTAAGTTTCAGTCTGAGTTTAGTGAAAATAGATATGTAATTATTTTTCCCATCCACATTTCCCATCCTGAATTCTATCCATAGTCTCCGAGGACCCAGATTAGGAAACTCTTCTGTTTCTACTTGTCTCTAAGGTCTCAGTTCAAATGTCACCTTCTCAGAGAGGCTTCCCTGAATAGCTAATATAAAACAGCTCATCCCTTTACTCACCATCACCCTATTTTATAGATCAGCATCTAGCACTGAGTAGGTACTCAAAAAATAATTGTTTTGGGGAGGGTGCTGGAGCAGGGTGGAGGGGGTCAATGGAGGACATCTGTAATACTTCCAACAATAAAAATAAATTTTAAAAAAAAAACACCCAAACTCATTTTAATTCCATCACCCAGAGAGATCACTGTCAATGCTTTAATCTGTAACCCTTTACACATCTTGTCTATACATATCTGTACATATGTTTAAGAAATGACCATTGCCCTAACCGGTTTGGCTCAGTGGATAGAGCGTTGGCCTGCAGACTGAAGGGTCCCAGGTTCGATTCCTGTCAAGGGCATGTACTTTGGTTGTGGGCACATCCCCAGTAGGGAGTGTGCAGGAGGCAGCTGAATCGATGTTTCTCTCTCATCGATGTTTCTAACTCTCTATCCCTCTCCCTTCCTCTCTGTAAAAAAAATCAATAAAATAAAAAAATAAAAAGAAATGAATCTTACGATGCAAAGATATTTTACAGCCTATTTTCTCACTCAATAAATTGCATAACTCCTTCCATGTTAAAAAAAAAATAATAATAATTGTTGAGGGAATAGTGTAGCACTAATCATTACTTGAAATTGGTTCTTTCCTTACTGTTTACACTTTTTACATTGACTAAATTTCCTTTTCATCTGAATATAATAAACCTTTCTGTGTTGTTCATCAATGTGTTCTAATTTCTGGCACATTTTAGGCCCTCATATCCATGGAATAAAAAACAAAACAGTAAGCAAATGGTTAAACACAAAATTTTAAAAGAATATTATTGCATGGATGGTGGTGTTTTGTCTTGCATTGTTTTAGAGTGTGGAACAAAGGGAAAATAACGCACTTTGAACTAAAATATGCCTAAATAACTAGACATTTAATTCTTCTTCACTACATAGTCTAGCGACTTGGAGGCAGAAACATTACTTTATTCCCTGCTCCCTGGACAATACTTTGAGCATACATGTTCAAAAGTATACAATAAAAAATGATAAAGTTTGGCGATAAAGCCAAATTATAAAAATTCATTAAATTATTTTACTTTGCAGATACATGAATCCTTGATAGTTTTTCTACTTCTCAAAAGATCTACTATAACTGAGTGATATATCAATAGTTTTCCTTATTTATGTGTATAACAACATGAGGAAGCCTGGTAAATTGGATGCCAGTAATTTATATAAAACTTGTAAAGAAAATGTTAAGATACAAGAGATTCTGTAAAATGTGTGTACACTGTAAAAAATGTAATGGCCAGAGGCCTAGTTTGCATATACTGAGAATGAACCATAAAATTTTATATAGTAAGATAGTAAATGTCAAGATAAGTTTAAGATCACGGCAAAGCTAATGAGGATAAAATAGCTAATGAAACTCCTGATGCTAATTACGGAAAAGCTTGGCTGGGAAACTGGTTAAATCGAAAGGCTTGCTAGCAATAAAACACACGTAAGACCCAGAGAGAAAGAAAACTAGTCTTATTTATTCTGCTGGAAATCCTTGTTTTGATTGCCAAAGATTAAATTCTAGGGGCAATATTCTTTGCTTCCGTAATAAACTTAAAAGATCGCTACTGTTGTTTTGTGCACCACTCACGATATTTATCCCCCCCAATTTTTTTCTTACTGGGATACATGGTGCTGAACTCTACTAAAACAATTCCATGAAGAATAATGAGAGTGAGAAAGATAAAGCATGAGAGAAAGGGGAGAGAATGGCACAAGCAGGGACAGCGTTAGCCTTTGCCTTTCACCTCCAGAGACCCGAGTCTCAGCTATTCCTCAGGGGAGAGGGGATTAACCTGAAATGTGTGGGATAGAGTGTCCTCATTATTTTCATGGCACCTGAGCATAACAGCATTCTTAACATTTTATTTTAATTAACAGTAAAAGGATTTCCTTATGTGGGAATCATAAATTCCCTCCACTATTGTCAAGAAGAAAATATCAACGTGAACACTTATTACCACAAAACCAGAGTAATGTATCAAAAATAACAATGCCTTCCAGTTATATGGCTCTTCGTCTTTTATAAATTAATTATATTCATTGTCACAGGAGACCTTAATAATAGCTTGTGTGAGGTAAGTGACAGATGTTCCAGTTTACTCATCTGTAAAAAATGGGGATCCCAATCCTTAATATGATATGGTCATGGTGAGGACTTAATGATAATACATGGGGATGTGAGCAGGGATGCGAGACACGCATAATTTATTGTAACCGAACAGGTGCTGCTGCAAAGGTTCCCACCAAAAGGCTGAGTGATCAATACTCGCGGGGGCGGCAGGGAAAGCTTTATAAAGGAAGTTACATTTGAGCCGAACCTTGAAGGGCAAGCAGTTAACTAAATGGATGAAGAGAAGGATAGACTTTCCAGCCAGAGGTCAACTTTTGCACAAAAGCGGAGTCAGATTTGTGGGGAGGGCAGGGCTACACAATCCAACAGTCAGACTGAACATTTCCTGGGGGCACCAGCGAAGCTGGAGCACTGCTAGAGAGGAAAGAGAAATTCAGACAAATCTAGAAAAGTGCTCATTACTTTCAGCTTATGCCTAAGTGTGGTGTGATTTCCTACAATAAAATGTTAAATTACCGATTAGTGTTGTTAACCTGTGAGACAGTAGGAGGGGCCAAAATGTTTTCAGTGCTTGGAACCTTAACTTGGTTCCAAGGTCTTAACTTGGCTGTGGCTTGGGAAATACGCAGTCTCGTGTGGTTAGAACAAAGAACTTGAGACAGATTTTGCAGGAAATTCTATGTTAAACAAAGCAATTTGGGGAACCAGGGAAGTCTTTTAAGTGAAGCAGCCATGTGATCAGACCTATGTTTTGGCAAGTGACTCTGTTGGGGGATAGGGGGAGGAGCTATAAGAAGAAAGAGCCACAGAGAATAAGTGAAGTTGGCGCTGGAACAGCCCAAAGCAAAAGATGATGAGGAATGTGGAGGAACATCTCAGTTAGATTGAACAGGACTTGGTCATTGGTTGATGTGATAATAAACAAATAAACAAGCAAACAAATAAAAAGAGTACAGTAAAAAACCCCAATGACCTAAATAAGGATCAAAGTACCTGAACAGAGTTGTAAGAAAAAGAGAAAGTGTCCAAGGAAGTG